ATATTGGAGGAGGAATAATATTCTGCGATTCAAAGTCTGCTCTTCAAGCAATCGAAAACTTCTCTTGGAAGATCGACAGCAAGAACCTAATACTCCCAATTATAAATGACCTAATTGATGCACAGAGTAAAGGGTCTCGAATCTCCTTTGTATGGATACCTTCACACATAAATATAACCCATCATAATGAGACAGACATTGCAGCCAAATTAGCGTGTAACAAGTTTGAAGTTGAATTAGATCTAGGTATCCCCATCTCTGCTGTCAAAACTGTATTGGTCCAAACATTCAGATCTGATAGGAAAGAACTTACTGACTCCCAACGACCTGAAAGTACTAGTATAAAAAGCTATGATTTGTTCAGATCTGAAACCTACATCTATGGACAGCACAAAACGTCCACTAGACTGTGCGACACAGTGGTTGCAAGGATCAGGTTGGGTTACCGTTACCTGTGGCAGGTGGCTGCAGGTGACGGGTTTCCCAATCCTGAGCACTCCAGTTGCAAACTCTGTGAGCAGGAACTACGGCATGATCTCCCGCACTACATCACTGAATGCCCAGTTATTAGACCTTTCAGACCAGTTGGCATGAGGTACCTGGAGCTTTGCAATTACTTTATTCACTCTCGTATTCTTGAAGGTATCCTCACAGTATACCCAAAATTTGCCAGTGCAGGCTATTAAACACATGGCCCTGTATGACTAACCATCCTGCGAGATGGGGACTTGTATTACCACTGCTACCTTATTCAATCTTGTGTTGTTGATATCCTCAAAATGCATCCGGAGTCTGCCAGTGCAGACCGCTTATCACATGTCTCTGTATGACTAACCATCCTGTGTGATGAGGATTTTATAGCATCACCTAGTTAGCTTTTTTGACACACTGTACTCCACTTCATATAGTCTAGGGTAGCTGCACTAATGCAGATGTACCTCATAACTTAATAAAAAAAAAAAAATCTAAAGGGGATTTTTTCCTGAATTTTTCTTAAAGATTTTCCTACTTATTTTCCTCATAAGAACGCTTAACAAACTTCTATAATCTCAGAAATTATTTTCCTCATACGAATTCCTTAATTCCAAATCTGTGACTGCCCAAATTCACCTGAAACCCCCGACACGCTACACGGGAATTTTGAATTTCTCCCATAAGAACTTTAACAAACTCGTATGAACTTATTTTCATCATAAGAACTTTTAACAAACTTCTGAAGTCTCGGAAATTACTTTTCTCATAAGAAATCCTTAATTCCAAATCTGTGACTGCCCAAATTCACCAAGAAACCCTAAAGCGCTACAAGGGAATTTGTTATACTCAAATTCTATGTCAGTTGAAATGTAACCAATCACAGGCAAGTAGGCCTCTGACGTCATGCCAGACAGAGGAGCATCAAGCCATGCTCCCAGCAGCCTCAGTTCTCTCTCAGACCCAGAGTAAGGTGGACCACGGTTGGCCAGATATATTCCTTGTTGTCTTGGTCAATAAATATATACAGAAGCGACTACTGAAGCGACCAAAAAAATAAAATTCCCCTGTGGCGCTTACTCCCTACTACTGTCGACGACCGGGCCGCGGGGACGCTAAGCCCCGGAAACACTTCAAAGTAACTTCAAGGTGGGTGACAGGCAAAGACGGGAGATTAGAGAATGGTCTGAACCTACAAGACACCGAGTTATTGTTCATTAACAATAAGTCCAATAGGAATATAAAGTGGGAGGAAATGTGGACTTGGAACTTACAGGCTATTCATGCCCGTGCCACCTCTTGGGTGGCTTAATCTTCATCAATCATCAATCAGGGCTTGGAGGACGAGAGACGTCTCCGTCACGCAGGGTGCAGTCGCACCTCCACAGATCTCCAGTATCATCTATTGGTACTGGTAATGGCTCAAAAGGGCCACCACTTACGGGCTATTCATGCCCGTGTCACCTTTTGGGTGGCTTCATCTTCATCTTAACACATTCACACGGGAGACATCTCCCGTCACGCAGGGTGCAGTCGCACCTCTACAGATCTCCAGTATCATCAATTGATACTGGTAATGGCTCAAAAGGGCCACGACTTACGGGCTATTCATGCCCGTGCCACCTTTTGGGTGGCTTAATCTGCATCATCATCATCAGGGCTTGGAACACACAATCAGTTACAGCCCCGCTCCCGTGCCAGGTAAGTCCACTACGGGCTCACCATAGCCCGTGCTACTTGCCCCGCTCCTGTGCCAGGTAAGTCCACTACGGGCTCACCATAGCCCGTGCTACTTGCCCCGCTCCTGTGCCAGGTAAGTCCACTACGGGCTCACCATAGCCCGTGCTACTTGGAACTTTTGTTCTAAGTAGCTGAATCTAAAACAACAACATGTGGGCAAGGAAGTTAGTGTGTGTTTGGCCTCAGGACAAGGAGGAGGGATTGTTGTTGTTGTTTCAGATTTAGCTAATCTGAACGAAGTGTCCATGTAGCACGGGCTATGGTGACCCCGTGAAGGAGGAGGGAGTGAAGGTTGAACTAAGAGGAGACACCTGACTCAGAGCTGACCCAGGGATTGTTTACAGTGGTGTAAACTTGTGAGTACTGATCGTCTTGCTTGAAAACACATTAAGCATATACATTTTATTTGCCTGTTAAGGGAAAGTATAACTTGGAAGTTTACATAAAGTAATAAACAGAATTACTAGGTTTACAAGACCTTGAGTATAAATCACCTCCTGTCTGACACACTCGAAGCCTCGCCCTCCCCAGGTGTTTAACCATCCCTTTGCTGTTTCCTAAGACTGTTCTAAGTATCATATTACCCCCCAACCCCCAAGTCTACATTTTCAAAAGTATCGGAGAAGTAGTGATCATTACATGAGTGACCAAAATTCCCAGGGCAAGTCTCCACTCTATTCTTCCCTCTTGGCCTGAGAGATAGAGAGAGATAAGATACCCCAGAGTTTGGGGTAAGATGGGCACGTGTCAGACCAGTTTACATACCATGACTTCCGTTCGAATTAACAACACTGGCCCCGGTTTTGGTCCGGTTTCCCTCTCATCAATCGAAATATATACGAAGGTTATGACAGCAATTTAGGTGACAAGTGCGTAAATAGAGATCCACCTGTGCCAGTAACCAGAGTCCTCCAGGTAATAAGGAAGGTTTATGAATGAGGACAGCAGGCAGTGTTGTGACACCATTTCCTTGCACCTGGTGCACCTATTCCGTAGCCTATTTGTGGCATAATTGGTGACCTATACATATGGTATGTTATAATATCTCCCAATATTATGAGCTGTGGAATTAGCTGAAAAATGTCGAGCGGTGTGAGCGTGTGTGTTGTTGCGTTTGCAAACATCTGACATTAAGGGTCTAACGATCCACTTGTGGTAGAAATTGTAAATGAAGATATCCTCCGCTATCTTTTCCTCCTGCAATGATTGGATTGGCCTCCAGTATCTCCTCCTCCAGATATGATTGAAGTTGGCCTCCACTGCCTCATGCTCCAGCTTTGAATAGTGTTGTATACACTTTTAAGGGACCTATTTGATAACTCAAGATTCCGTGAGCGGTAGCGCAAAAAGCATTACAGAGGGCACAAAAGGTCTTTATCAGACCTCAACGGAGATTATTACATTAACAATTTCATCTATCCTTCACACCTTATAATTACAAAGACAGCTAGTTACAGAGAATGTTCTATTTCAAGAGCTATATACTTACAGTTAGTCATTATATATACAAGGTTGGTCTTATCGGTAAATACACAATTGTTTGAGCAATGGGGATATTACAGAGTCATAGGGGAGCTGCTGTTTATTATTAGTCCTCACAATACACTACTTGTTTCTTAATCTCCTATGTCGTTTATCTACTGGGAGCGAAATATGGATACAGTGCAAGGATTTCAGGTAATTTATCCATGGTAATAAGATAGGTTGCCATTTCATACAGAGTGAGCTTAGATTTATCTCTTAATGGCTCAATTTTATTACATTCCAAGATATAGTGTTCGAGTGTGTGTCCCTGTCTTTGTCCACACACTTTACACTTTACTTCATCTAGATCCCTATACAAGCCCAACGGCCAGAGATACTTGTAGCCAAGTCTTATTCGAGCTGTGACAACATCTGTTAGTCTACTGACTTTGTTACTTGCCCCATACACATGTTTTACTTCACACATTTCATTGTGATGAACAATGGACCTGCTAGTTCCAGTTTGCACTGTTCTATTTTCTTCAAATTCATCCAGGAGTTCTGGTCTAATGACACTTTTAAGGGACCTATATGATAACTCAAGATTCCGTTCAATACTGTCTTTATTTGCTGCAGCCTTAGCAAGGGTGTCAACTTTGTCATGTTCCTGCATGCCAATGTGAGAAGGAATCCACAACATTTTTATATTTATCCTCTTGCTAAGTATTCTTATATATCTACGTCTAGCTTCCAAGACAAGCACGTTAATACTTGATTGCAAACTGTTTACCCTTTGAAGCTGTTATCTGCGTGTCAGCCTAACTCTCCCTCTCTGCCGACCTCTCCCTCTCTGGCTATGCTTGCTCCTAATACACTTATTCTTCTCTCAAGTCTTTCAACTGCTCCTTACCACGTTTTCTTCATCTTGATAATTTGTGTCCTTATATTAGGCCTCAATCCACTGCCTCTCTTACGACTATATAGCACTGGGAAGGGGTCAGGATAAGGTTTTGGGATGGGACGGGGTGAAGGAATGGTGCCCAATCACTTGGACGGTCGGGGATTGAACGCCGACCTGCATGAAGCAAGACCGTCGTTCTACCGTCCACCCCAAGTGGTTGGGCCTGGGGGAGTCGTCCTCGAAGTATCCCTGGGTTCCCACTCAGCCTCAAACCACGCGACCCTTCAATGTGTGTCCCTATTTGTATTACTGTATCCCAGCGAGGAGACCACATCTCCAGGAGGACACAGTTACTCTGGAGAAGGTGCAACACCGGGCAACAAAAGTAATTCCAGAGCCAAGTCATCTCTCGCACGAGAAACGGATGAGGGCCACAGGGCTAACAACACTACAAACTAGACATGACACGTCGGATCTTATTGGAACTTGTAATATACTGAACAATTTGGAGGATGTTGATCCGGAAAATGTCTTCAACAGGTGAGATGTAACACAAACAAGGAGCAACGGGTTCAAGCTCAACAAGCCACAATGTTGGACTGAGAACAGGCGATGCTTTTTCACCCACAAGGTTATTAACCCGTGGAACCGCCTACCCGCCGAAGCCTTAAGTGCCAAAATTATTAACTTTTAAAATCTAACTAAAAAAGATTAACAAGGCAAATGAGAAAGGGGGGGGGGAACCTTCGACAAGCCGCCAGCTTCCTGTCCTCGTCAAGGCCACTAGTGTTTAGTGCCTCTCAGGTAAATTCAGGTGTAAATATTTGCTGTTCCTCTTTATTATCTCTCCCGGTGTTTATGCTCCGCGTCCCCGAGTTTGGTTCAGGCTTACTGATTACCCTTTAATTCCCCCTTACACGTACATAATTCCCCCTTACACGTACATAATTCCCCTTACACGTACATAATTCCCCCTTACACGTACATAATTCCCCCTTACACGTACATAATTCCCCTTACACGTACATAATTCCCCCTTACACGTACATAATTCCCCCTTACACGTACATAATTCCCCTTACACGTACATAATTCCCCCTTACACGTACATAATTCCCCCTTACACGTACATAATTCCCCTTACACGTACATAATTCCCCCTTACACGTACATAATTCCCCTTACACGTACATAATTCCCCTTACACGTACATAATTCCCCCTTACACGTACATAATTCCCCTTACACGTACATAATTCCCCTTACACGTACATAATTCCCCTTACACGTACATAATTCCCCCTTACACGTACATAATTCCCCCTTACACGTACATAATTCCCCTTACACGTACATAATTCCCCCTTACACGTACATAATTCCCTTACACGTACATAATTCCCCCTTACACGTACATATTTCCCCCTTACACGTACATAATTCCCTTACACGTACATAATTCCCTTACACGTACATAATTCCCCTTACACGTACATAATTCCCTTACACGTACATAATTCCCCTTACACGTACATAATTCCCCCTTACACGTACATAATTCCCTTACACGTACATAATTCCCCTTACACGTACATAATTCCCTTACACGTACATAATTCCCTTACACGTACATAATTCCCTTACACGTACATAATTCCCTTACACGTACATAATTCCCTTACACGTACATAATTCCCTTACACGTACATAATTCCCTTACACGTACATAATTCCCTTACACGTACATAATTCCCTTGCACGTACATAATTCCCTTACACGTACATAATTCCACCTTACACGTACATAATTCCTTACACGTACATAATTCCCTTACACGTACATAATTCCCTTACACGTACATAATTCCCCTTACACGTACATAATTCCCTTACACGTACATAATTCCCTTACACGTACATAATTCCCCCTTACACGTACATAATTCCCCCTTACACGTACATAATTCCCCCTTACACGTACATAATTCCCCTTACACGTACATAATTCCCTTACACGGAAATAATTCCCCCTTACACGTACATAATTCCCATACACGTACATAATTCCCCTTACACGTACATAATTCCCCCTTACACGTACATAATTCCCTTACACGTACATAATTCCCTTACACGTACATAATTCCCCTTACACGTACATAATTCCCTTACACGTACATAATTCCCTTACACGTACATAATTCCCCCTTACACGTACATAATTCCCTTACACGTACATAATTCCCCTTACACGTACATAATTCCCCCTTACACGTACATAATTCCCCCTTACACGTACATAATTCCCCTTACACGTACATAATTCCCCCTTACACGTACATAATTCCCCCTTACACGTACATAATTCCCCTTACACGTACATAATTCCCCCTTACACGTACATAATTCCCCTTACACGTACATAATTCCCCCTTACACGTACATAATTCCCCCTTACACGTACATAATTCCCCTTACACGTACATAATTCCCCTTACACGTACATAATTCCCCTTACACGTACATAATTCCCCCTTACACGTACATAATTCCCCCTTACACGTACATAATTCCCCTTACACGTACATAATTCCCCTTACACGTACATAATTCCCTTACACGTACATAATTCCCCCTTACACGTACATAATTCCCCCTTACACGTACATAATTCCCTTACACGTACATAATTCCCTTACACGTACATAATTCCCCTTACACGTACATAATTCCCTTACACGTACATAATTCCCCCTTACACGTACATAATTCCCTTACACGTACATAATTCCCTTACACGTACATAATTCCCTTACACGTACATAATTCCCTTGCACGTACATAATTCCCTTACACGTACATAATTCCCTTACACGTACATAATTCCCTTGCACGTACATAATTCCCTTACACGTACATAATTCCCTTACACGTACATAATTCCCTTACACGTACATAATTCCCTTACACGTACATAATTCCCTTGCACATACATAATTCCCCCTTACACGTACATAATTCCCCTTACACGTACATAATTCCCTTGCACGTACATAATTCCCTTACACGTACATAATTCCCTTACACGTACATAATTCCCCTTACACGTACATAATTCCCTTACACGTACATAATTCCCCCTTACACGTACATAATTCCCCCTTACACGTACATAATTCCCCCTTACACGTACATAATTCCCCCTTACACGTACATAATTCCCTTACACGTACATAATTCCCTTACACGTACATAATTCCCCCTTACACGTACATAATTCCCTTACACGTACATAATTCCCCTTACACGTACATAATTCCCCCTTACACGTACATAATTCCCTTACACGTACATAATTCCCTTACACGTACATAATTCCCCTTACACGTACATAATTCCCCTTACACGTACATAATTCCCCTTACACGTACATAATTCCCCCTTACACGTACATAATTCCCCCTTACACGTACATAATTCCCCTTACACGTACATAATTCCCCCTTACACGTACATAATTCCCCTTACACGTACATAATTCCCCCTTACACTTACATAATTCCCCATACACGTACATAATTCCCCCTTACACGTACATAATTCCCCTTACACGTACATAATTCCCCTTACACGTACATAATTCCCCCCTTACACGTACATAATTCCCCCTTACACGTACATAATTCCCCTTACACGTACATAATTCCCCTTACACGTACATAATTCCCCCTTACACGTACATAATTCCCCTTACACGTACATAATTCCCCCTTACACGTACATAATTCCCCCTTACACGTACATAATTCCCCCTTACACGTACATAATTCCCCTTACACGTACATAATTCCCTTACACGTACATAATTCCCTTACACGTACATAATTCCCTTACACGTACATAATTCCCTTACACGTACATAATTCCCTTACACGTACATAATTCCCTTACACGTACATAATTCCCTTACACGTACATAATTCCCCCTTACACGTACATAATTCCCCTTACACGTACATAATTCCCCCTTACACGTACATAATTCCCCCTTACACGTACATAATTCCCCCTTACACGTACATAATTCCCCCACGTTACACGTACATAATTCCCCCTTACACGTACATAATTCCCCCTTACACGTACATAATTCCCCCTTACACGTACATAATTCCCCCTTACACGTACATAATTCCCTTACACGTACATAATTCCCCCTTACACGTACATAATTCCCCCTTACACGTACATAATTCCCTTACACGTTACACGTACATAATTCCCTTACACGTACATAATTCCCTTACACGTACATAATTCCCTTACACGTACATAATTCCCCTTACACGTACATAATTCCCTTACACGTACATAATTCCCTTACACGTACATAATTCCCTTGCACATACATAATTCCCCCTTACACGTACATAATTCCCCTTACACGTACATAATTCCCTTACACGTACATAATTCCCTTACACGTACATAATTCCCCCTTACACGTACATAATTCCCCTTACACGTACATAATTCCCCACGTACATAATTCCCCTTACACGTACATAATTCCCCCTTACACGTACATAATTCCCCCTTACACGTACATAATTCCCCTTACACGTACATAATTCCCCTTACACGTACATAATTCCCCCTTACACGTACATAATTCCCCCTTACACGTACATAATTCCCCTTACACGTACATAATTCCCCCTTACACGTACATAATTCCCCCTTACACGTACATAATTCCCCCTTACACGTACATAATTCCCCTTACACGTACATAATTCCCCCTTACACGTACATAATTCCCCCTTACACGTACATAATTCCCCCACGTTACACGTACATAATTCCCCTTACACGTACATAATTCCCCCTTACACGTACATAATTCCCCCTTACACGTACATAATTCCCCTTACACGTACATAATTCCCCCTTACACGTACATAATTCCCCTTACACGTACATAATTCCCCTCACACGTACATAATTCCCCTTACACGTACATAATTCCCCTTACACGTACATAATTCCCCCTTACACGTACATAATTCCCCTCACACGTACATAATTCCCCTCACACGTACATAATTCCCCTTACACGAACATAATTCCCTTACACGTACATAATTCCCCCTTACACGTACATAATTCCCTTACACGTACATAATTCTCTTACACGTACATAATTCCCCCTTACACGTACATAATTCCCCTTACACGTACATAATTCCCTTGCACGTACATAATTCCCCTTACACGTACATAATTCCCTTAAACGACATAATTCCCCTTACACGTACATAATTCTCTTACACGTACATAATTCCCTTACACGTACATAATTCCCTTACACGTACATAATTCCCCCTTACACGTACATAATTCCCTTACACGTACATAATTCCCCTTACACGTACATAATTCCCTTGCACGTACATAATTCCCCTTACACGTACATAATTCCCTTAAACGACATAATTCCCCTTACACGTACATAATTCTCTTACACGTACATAATTCCC